AGTCATAACTTACGAAATATGTTTAATATTAAATGATAAACAGCGCCCCCTTTAGGGTTAATAAATAAGCAATAAAAGTGGCTTACTTAAGCTTTACTCGTAAAACATGATTATCGCAAAGACTAGGAGTAAAGTGCGATGAAAATCACATTCCCTCACCATAATACATTATTATTACATTTTTTTATAGCTCATCGAAAGCATAAATATTGCCGGGCTTGCGTTATATACCATAACAATATGGCTCGTAAAACTAAACCCTATTTTGATTGCGATATGATCATAGATATGTTGCTTGTCATATGTCTTGAAAAGAAGGTCCTGCGAGTTTTAGATTAGGACATAAGTTGATATGTAAACAAAGTATAAATATATATAATAATATATATATATAAATATATTAATTATCTATCCTACCATTAATGACTCTCATTCAAGATTTGACTCCTAATTTGGCACTTTCGTTTAAGTCTCAAGCTCCGAAATTCATTTTCATTACTCTAAAATAATACAATACATTCCATACATATTAAAATATATCTTTTAGCTCATAGAAATATTAGGAAAATTATAATATTTCTTTAGAAGACACTTTTATATATACCGAATTGAGAATGAACGATCCAAGAAGTGTAAGGTAACTGGACTCGAATTTGTTCCTAGTAAGTCGTTTACTTGGTAGTGTGCCTGGTCCACTGGGACCTCATGGCTGCCATCATTTCGCTGCGATTTGGAACCTTTTCGCTGGTGGTTCTAGTAATCGGTGCCCCTGGCGCAAGCGACTCCGGTACCTTCAGAGTCATCCCAGACGACGACTGAGCCTCGGGTTGTGCTTCCGCTACATCTGAAGCACTCTCGGAAGGGCTCACAGGCACGATCAGCTTCACCCGTCCATCTTCTGAAGTCGCAGTCAACGTTCCATTATGGGATAGTGGCATTATAAACGGAATCCCATCATCTGAGCTAGCATCATCATCCGGTGAAGAATCTTTAGAAGTAGTCGGCTGACTGTTGCTGTACAAGGAATTTTCTGATTGCCCGACGCTCATTGCCTGTGCACCTATTTTATCAGTGGAGCCACCCAGATCTTGGTATATTTTATGGTTCAGAAGATTGGCGAGATCAGCATTAGAGAAGTGGCTCTTGAGCGGTGGTATATTTGGAAAAGCTTTGCAATTCTGGTAGAACTGCGGATTCGGATCTGTGTTATCATCAGGGAATCCACCCAAATCCTCCAACTTGGAAATCAAATAGCTCTGTATTTGTTCGTTGGTCATTCCATCGAAGTTCAATGCTGAATTACTGCCATTTGGGGCAGATTTAGTTGGCGATAAGCTAAACGGAGAGATTGTCACATTGTTATTCTCAACATTCTGTGTAACTTTGTTAGTTTGGGTGATTAGATTAACGAGAGTATCCGTGTTGAGCGGTTGTTGGTCGCCGTTACACGCCGAATAAGAATTGGCTTTGGCTGTTTCCCCAACGCCACCATCCTCTTTTGCTTTATTCTGAATCCAGCAGCATCGACAAATTAAATAATTCGATTAGAACATTTACTTTTAAATAAAACTAAAATTTATTAGTCATCAGTCTGTAGACCCCCTAATATATGTAATTTACTCTCTTAATGTACCTGTTCCAGTATGCGTAAGTTTTATTTTGGTATAAAGTAGTGAAATGTAACTAAAACATCTAAATCAATTTAAATATTGAGAAAGTCTTTAGACTGATAACAATCTTCTGAAATGTAAAATAGAAATTCTTTTATATAGTACTTATTAACCATTTCCAAAAATTTATGTTTAATCAAAAAATATATGTAATTATTATGTTATAAAATATTCTGTACAAAAGAACTTCAATTTTATTAATCATGCTCTAGACTAGATTGACAACATTTTCAAACTGCACAAATTATTGGATATTTAACAAACACATTTTATAACAGAGCTTCCATTATTCTAAATACACATTAAGCACAAAAACAAGCAATTCATGAACGGTATGGGTTACAAGCATTCTCATGAAATACTACAATTTCTACTTAATGTAACAGGTACTGCATGAAACTGATATAAAAAATTGAACACCAAAACAGCTATTACAGTATTTCAATACACATAATAATTTAAATACATGCAGAAATATTTACTTTTTACTGTTTCAGTATTCAATTGCAACATTGATTTTTAAACAATAATAGCAAATGGAAATTGTTATGTTGAATACAACATTGTTACAATGAACATAAATATATTATAAATTAACATGCTTTTATTATCTGGTGTTGTGAAATGAAACAATGGTCTCATTAAAATAACTGTTGAAATCGGTTTATGAATGTTATTCAGAATATTTTGCTAGATGTACATGTAAAAATAAAATATTGGAGCGCAAGTTCAATATTTTATTTTGTGTATGTAAATCTAATAATGGAACGTGGGCATGTTAAGTATTGTGCTCAACAAGTGGTCGCTAATTGACAATGCTTTTTTGCGATAAAAGATGTGATGTTATATTATTTGTTGTTACTATATTTTTATTTAAAAATCATCCTTTCGATAAAATATTTCTTGTATGGAAAAATCAGGTACCTTCATAAATGTCTTATTAGAATGCAATAAATAATTAATTGTTTAACACGTCGTAGTTATTTTGGTTTACTTACTAATGTTATAAATACGAGTAACTTTCTTTTAAGTTTGACGCGGTCATTATTTATAAGTATAATTAGTAAATCACGGGATCTTACCACGTTTTATTTTTGTTGAGTTCCCGATATTTCAGTTCCAGTTTACCCGTGATCATGGCCGTTGAAACACTGCCGAAATATCGGGAACTCAACAAAAATGAACGTGGTAAGATCCCGTGATTTACTACTTATACTTATGAGTAACTCTCTGTTTGTCTTTAAATTAGTTAAATTTTGTTTCAGATAACGCAGAATTTTATCCCTATAAGATTAATTCCGTAAATACTTCTGGGTGAAGCCGAAACATAGTAATAATATAAAAAAGCCGAATAAGTAGTATGTTCTCTTTGTCTTTAAAAGATTTAAATTTTGTTTCAGATAACGCAGAATTTTATCCCTAAAAGATTAATTCCGTAAATACTTCTAGGTGAAGCCGAAACATAGTAATAATATAAAAAAGCCGAATAAGTAGTAAGTTCTCTTTGTCTTTAAATTACTTAAATTTTGTTTCAGATAACGCAGAATTTTATCCCTATAAGATTAATTCCGTAAATACTTCCGGGTGAAGTCGAAACATAGTAATAATATAAAAAAGCCGAATACGTGGTATGTTAATTTAATTTCCGTACAAAATTATTACCGAAAAATGAATAAACGTACTAAAACGTAGGAATTCAAAGCTGATGAGAGAGAGAAACAAAAGGATATATTCTTTATTAAAATTTCTAATTAAATTCTCGTTAATTTTGTTATAATTTATGCAATTATGGTTTCAGGAAAATATTATGGTTCACCACTCGTATGTAATCAAATTTAAATGTACATGTATTTATGTAAATGTGCGAATAAATAGATGGTTATGTGAAAACTCCTGCAGTGGTGAGGTAAAAAAATATATGCTAATAGTTGCATCTAATAAAAAAATAGTCTAAAATGATGACAACAAAAGAATATAAGCAGTCAATTGATATAACGTGATAATTATATTTATACAAATAATTATCATAACAACACAAAACTATAGATACTATTTCAATCCAATTATTTTCTATTTGACAATCTACTCTTATGTAATAAAAAATATAAAGTTCACGATATGTAAATGTGCGAATAAACAGATGATTATGTGAAAACTCCTGCTGTAGTGAAGTGATAACATGTAAAATAAAAATATATGCTAATAGTTGCATCGAATAAGAAAATGGAAGTGGTCTAAAATGATGACAACAAAAGAATATAAGCAGTCAATTATTATAATAATGATATAACGTGATAATTATATTTATTTATATATATAATTATCATAACAACACAAAACTATACTATTTCCATTCGATTATTATCTATTTGACATATTAAAGTGTTATCCATTTACAGTGACAGCTGAATGCATTTGTAATTAGATGTAATAATAATATTACGATAATTTCGATATTTGAAGAATTACTTCAATATTTTTTTCTTTATAATTCTTTCTAATAAACATACTATATATATAATAGTTTGTAATAAAAATAAAGTTAAAAAGTGATATGAAATGTACCTACTATACATATATTCATATTTATATTTTTATCAAATTGTTTATTGAAGATAACCCAATACCAGCAGTGTCAACATCTTTACTAAGTAGTAACTATTGCTGTTCTAAGTAGTAAGAATATAAATGTCAAATAGAAAATAAACGAATGCAATAACTGTAATGTGGGGTATGATTTGAAGCCTGAATTCACATCCAAAAAGTAAAACAACACATAAATCGCAATACCGCTTAATAGTGTTTGCGACACCACAGTGTCAAATTGTCAATAATACAATTATATTCAAAATTCACCATATTTTACTTCTAAAATTATCTTTAGTTTTAGGTCCAATATTTTTTGTAAATATAAGTGGAATGACAGACAAGCCACTTAATGGTAAGGGATAACCGTTGCCTATATGTATGTATATATATACAATAACAAGTATTGTTATAATATTGTTATAAGTCATCCGTGGTACCTAACATGTATTACCATTCCAGAGAATGATAATGTTTTAAACATGTATATACCTTGGTAGAGGTACCCTGTAATTCCACTGAAATAGCTACACACTACATCGTCTACTTTTCATAAAGTCTACTCCCGTCCAATCAAAATGAGTATTGGAAAAATTCGAAACGTCTTATTATATGTTAATCAAATATTTCAAGTCCAGACACTATTTAAGCGCAATTGCGAATTGGAAAACAAAAAAAAATAAGCGAACATCAACTAGATGCACTGCAATTAATGAGCGTACAGTAATAAGGAGGAGTACACACCTGTGGCAGAAGTGTCAGCTGTTGAGCGCTGATCGGCTTGGTGGAGCCGCGCTCTCTCTCCTGCAAGTGTGCTACAAGAGCTGCAATATGCTCAATCAGCTCCTTGTTATGAACGAGCAACTGGTGGGTGCGCGCCTGGAATATTCAGAACATTCGTATAAGATAACAGAAAGTAATATATTAACATTATAAATAATATTTATTACCAGTTGTATCCTACGTGAAATATAATAAAAAATACGGTAAGGATATTATTTCAAGCGAATCTGTCCAATAGTTTTTGCGTAGTGTAATAAACTCCAAACAAGATAACATAATTAAATATTTCTCCTGATTTTTCCCTTCGCTTGATCGCTTGGTATAGACTTTTTTTTAATTTTTATTATACCAGCATTAGTAAATGGAATAAACCAAAGTCGCTGTAGTCATCTGTAAGTTCTCCGCATAAGTCTTGTAATGCACGCAACGGATTTGGAATGCGATTATCACTATTACTATGTAATATTATGTTATCTGTGCTATTACTAAAGGATGATAATAGAATGGTGCAGTCGCCTGCGCTAACGGTTTACGCTGGCGGGGCACCAGTGGCGATTATCACTATTATTTTGAGGATTCTGGAATATACGTAAAATACATGCATATATGTAGTTATACAGCCTTCACATACACTGTACATCCGTGGGTAGCCATGCGGGTCGCTAGTAAAACATAAAAGAGAACTGTAAATACAGATAGATGTATAGGAATTTTTATTTGTATCGTAGTACACACATTTAGACTTTATTATAATAGTAAAAATACAAAGTATTAAATTAATCAATCAAATGATTAAACCAGTGCTATACTATATGGGTAAATCTGAATATGTAAATGTGTATAGCCCATAACCCCCCAGCAGTAACACAAAATAACGAGATAAATAAAAAAGTCGGTCTTATCGCCAATGTAATCTTTAAGACAACAAGTATTGGAAAGTGTGAAATGAATAATAATAATAATAATGTTTCAGGACAATTCACATAGCGCCATCTAGACCCAAGCTAAGCAGAGCTTGTGTTATGGGTACTAGACAACTGATATAAATACGTAGATACATTTTTTTTAAATAAATACATATTACACATGGAAAACACCCAGACCGATACAAACGATCATACTTATGAATACAAAATGTTTGTACCGTGCGAGGAATCGAACCCACGACCATCGGATAGTAAAGCGGTGTGCTAAACCACTAGACTACCGCGGCTGTCGAATGAAGATATTCTTCAACGTAGTTGTAGATATATATACTCATGTATATATGTCCCTGGTTATTAGTAACATACTCTAACGCTATTGCTAAGCATGTACCATTTCAGGTAAAGCTCCACGCTCCCTTTTGAATAATATTAACCTTGGTAATAATAAATAACCTGATTTCTTCGTAATACTACCATTATCTATCAGTGTGCTGGCATATTACCTAGTAGAGTAAATCATTAATAAATCGTCTTTAGTCGTTAAATAGGTAATTCAGAAACGAGACCAAGAGTCTTAACTATATTTAGAGTTCATGCTGTTGTATAGTGTACTTTTTATTACCGCCTGTCTCCATATGCAACTGGTCTCACCTGTGCCTCGCATCGAGCCGACTGTTCAGCGGCCAACTGGTCCCGAAGTAACAGGAGTTGAGCGACGGCGGCCCGTGTTTGCTGCGCCTGTTGGTCAAGACGTTCACGCAGCAATTGGAGCTGGTGCTGGGCGCTGAGTGGTGTGCTCTCAGCATTCTCTCCATTGACAGTGAGCTCGACTTTGGTCACGCATTCAGGAAGTTCCGGCAGGTTGATGCTCGGTGCTGGTGTTACGCGCTGTAACAAAACATATTAATCAATAAGTGAAGTCAACATAAATTGTATTCTAAACCGTTAGTTTGGCACCAATTCTTGAGTTCTAATCAATTATTTAACAATACAAATATTCGGTTGCTGAGCACTAGAATAGAACAGAAAAGACCAGATTAAACTAAAAAATCTAGTCTTTATTAAAATAAATATAATTTAAAAGTACTTTTAAATAATCATAGTTATTTTTTCAAGGACACTTCTTTTTTTTTCAAGGATAATTTGTATTCACTAATATGATTTGTGTATATTATGTATTTACAAAAAAAGAATGTCGTGACAAAGTAACGTGACATCATCAATTTAAATTGATGGTTGTTTTTACGGATAACCACGTGGATAACCTGGCTTACTATATTGGTAGTTAGTTATTAGTCTACGTTACTAAAAATCCCTTCCACATTCAGTTGCTCAAATATTCATTTGGTTTCCGTATCTCATTTCCCACAAACTACTTTCAGGGATTGTGTTAATTCCATTATAGTGTGTAGGGATTGTCGCTGATGCAAGCTGATTATCTCCGTGATGCAAATTGGAAACCGTCGCGTACAAATTCAGCAACAGAATAACACATTGTAGGTATACTACATACAATGAGCGACCTTATGAATTAATGTTTTAGAGCCAAAGTTACTAGGTACAAATCTGCTTGATGTGGAAAACTAGTATTTAATAATGATAATTAAACTAAACGATATTTATTCGGCATTATATCAGCATCAGTAGGGTTTACAATAAATGTTTGTACTATGAATTGTTTCTGTGTCAATACCGCCGTAAAATAGTAGCTTTAAATGACCCTAAGTGACTGTTATTTTTTATAAATGATAATGGAACGGTGCACCCGTCTGCGCTAACGGTTTACTCTGGCGGGGCACCTGTGATGGATGATAAGATGAGTATGAGGTCAGGTCAATTAGCCCATAGTGACAAATTCACCAAGAATTTATCGCGATGGCTTCCAGAGGGGACCGGATGGAGGTCAACCTAATACGGTACATTGCTAGCAATACGATCATGAGTCCACCTCACTAACAATCCCCTTTTCCCCCAGTGTCTCCTATTTAGTATACATACTGTAGTATAACTAAATTACATCACAGCGTCGATTTTCAGTGGGCACACTAAACACTCTTCGTATAGATAGCTGAAGAACAGGGATGTTATGGAGCTCCGTAACTGTAACCGAAACTATTGAATGTCCGATATAAAAAAATATTCGTAACCGTAACCGAATCCGAAATAAAAGATATTTCGAATTGAATTTGAATGAAATTGAATTGATTTAGCTATTTGTATTTACTTTTGAAATTCCTTAAAAAATAAAATATCGGTAACTGAAATTATCCGAAACTAACGGATAATCCGAAATAATTTTATATCCGTATCCGGGATTTAGTAATAATTATTTCTATATCCGAAATTTCATATCCATAAAACCCTGCTGAAGAAAATAAAAACGTCACGAATACGACCATCTTACTAATATATAAACGGGAAAATTTAATTTAATATAAGTAAATGAGTATGAATGTTTACTATAATAATTACGGTATCAGAGGAGCTTACTCCCGCGTACACTTACATTGTGGAATGAAGTACCTTCTGAGGTTTTCTCGAGAGACTACAGTATGCTATTCTATAGGAAGGGTATATTAAGGCTTCTTAAGGGTCGGCAATACGCACGTGATACCCCTTGTGTTTCAGGCGTCTATAGGCTACAGTAACCATTTACCATCAGATAGACTGTATGTTTATTAGTAGTACGTAGTATTAAAAAAATACTTTTTTTTGTAAATACTCATACATACATATAGTACATAGAAAAGAGATTAATATTAATTTTAAATCAGAAATCAAACCTTTCAATTTGATGAATTATATGGTAGTGTGCTATATCCTTAAGCCACCGTGGTTAATACTATAAGTTATACCAAATTATTATAGGTAGTAATAATAATTTTGCCATACAGGATCCTTCTGAGGTTGTTTCCAGGTGGTCGGATTTTATTGTTTTCATTACATTACCCTCGCCCAAGGGAAAGAGAATCACAGACATGTATGCTTCGGCAGATTTGTATACATTCTTTTTAAACTTACGGACAATATTTTCTTTAAAACACAAATAGTAATAATAAAAGCAACTGCACTATATATAAAATACAAACACTGTAATATCTATAGTATTGAAAAGTAGGGGATTATTACTAATGTTCCTATTACTAGCAATGTACGCGGTTTCTCCTGGAAAGTGTAGTGGTAAATTTGTCACGATGGGCTAATTGACCTGACCTTATGATCATCTTATCACTCTCTTGCTCATCTTATCCTATCAGCAGGGGGCTTTTTAAAGAATGGTACATTAAGGTTCCTTAAGGGTCGGCAACGTGCATGTGACTGACTCCTGGCATTAGGCATCAATATACTACGGTAACCGTTTACCATCAGATAAGCCGTATGCTTGTTTACCATCATCTTAGTATTAAAAAACAGAAAAAAGCAGGCAAAAGGGTTTGGAAGCTTGTATGGGTGAACTTTCTACCTCCCTTCCGATCGATCTCCCGTACAATTCAAACGGGATTAATACTACGACGGCCTGTGCCGAGGTTCGGACACCTAGCGGTGTTTTCAGTCTAAAGTCGTATCCGAGTTAAGTTTAGAGTGCCATCTGCACTCGCATATAGTCCGGTGAAGCTGCAAAGGCCAGCTACGGCGAATATCATTAGTAGTAATAGTCCGGAAAAAAACCTTTCCACCACTGCTCTAAATAATAGTTTAGACTTATGTAAGCTGAACTAAACAGAAACCGGTACCGGTACCTATTTTCTTTCGGTACATTTCACAATATCGTACAAACAAGATAGTCTGGTTAAACATTTTAGGTTTCATTTTATAGTGGACGAATATTGTAAATTCCTATTACTAAAAGGGTTTACACAATTTATATATTAAAAACCATTTATTCAAATGGTTTTATTCGTTTAGTTTTCGACTTGAATGCCCTCATATTAGGAAAGGATATTATGTAAATTATATAAAGTTAATAATTCATATCTACTTCAAATGAAGTAGACTTATATAGATTATGTACTTAACAATTTATAAGTATTTTAATACAAAGCCGATTTATATAATAAAAGTAATATCTTGTTCTGTTATAAAAGTATTGAATTATCGTTCCAGTAATGAGTAATAAATGACAATTAAATTGTAGTTCCAATTTTTTTTTTATAACACAATTTAGCCAAGAGGCTCCATATAAGACTTTGTTCAAAAAAATATATATATAAAATAATACTTAACGTCTTAGACAGGAACTGTTTTGTATGTATAAATATTTAAATTTAGAAGTAAATAATGTGCGTTCGAGATATAGTTCTTTTTGGGTTATTAAAATGAATTTACCTTGTATGTAATACGTCTATGTACGCTAGAGTGTAATAGTTCTGAAATTGGCTCATTTTATACATAGTTTCCCAATTAATTTTTGCATTTCAAAGGGCATAATGTGGTAAAAATCTATTAACTCGTTGACTGCTGCTGCAATCTACAGAAATGTGAACGAAATAACAATTTAATTTAGCTATCATCATATGGAAAAAATTGTGTATTATATAAAGTTCCACTAACAATAAAGTATTATTTTGTTTCTTGAATTTAAATAATAATAATAATATTTTTGTAAAATTTCTAATAAATTTTCTGTTCATGCAAACCATCATTAATATATTATTCTCTACTCAAAAACCATCTATAGATATTATCCCAAAATGCACCAAAAATGGCAGCTAAACATATTACGAGACACTCGTTGGCAATCAACGTGTTAAAATAAAAAAAATAAAAACAAGATACGGAAAGTCTTATAGTCTAGAGACGAGATACCGTGGGCGGCCAGACTACACATATCAGAATTATGCAGTCTATGTTGCTTTCAAATTTTTATCACTAAATGTGATTTCTGATTGAATTTTGATTGATTGATTGACGTTTAAGCCGAATTTAAAGTCAATATGTTGTTTCTCTTGCTATCCAATACTAATACTAGATAGTACTCATGTAACTGTAGCATCTGGAAATGACTTGCTACGCGATTTTATTGCATTCGAACACTTATTATTTCATTCGAAATCTATAATACATAGGCCCGTAGTACAACTTTATTGTTTATAAACTAATCAAACTTAAATAAATACAAAAATATACTCTTTTTATTTATTTATTAAAGCTGCAGAACAGTTTTTTGGAACTATAGAGCTCATTAATACTTGTACTTTACCTACACATAAATACATATTTATATATATAGATATTTAATATAATGAATAAACATGTACAACATTTATTTGAAAAGAATACGAGTTGAGTTTCTTGTCAGTATTTCTCATCTTGAAATTATTCTGAACTGAAGTTAGATTTGATATCATAAAAGTCTGTAATGGACCTACATGAATAAAGATATTTTGAATTTGAATTTGACTTACTATTAATTTTTAACACATCAGCTTTTCAGCGCTTTTTTCTTTTATCTTATAGCATCATACATTCGTGACGCAACCAGATCGGTTGAGCGTCTTCTTAAGAATGCATTATTCTCATTCGGCCCAAAATTCACGTATAACTAAAGAAATATTTTAACAATCGGGTTCTTTTATGATGATTATATTAAACAAGTGTGAGACTCTCTGTATGACTCGATGTGAATTGGGGAATTTCGGGTTATATCTAGACTAATACATATTATAAGTAGAAATATTTCAGTTTCTGTCTACTCACTTCTTGATAGAGTAACTAAAAAAATAATTGAACTTTTTCAAAATCAATAATCTATACAAAGTCACAATATCACCGCATACAGAAGCTAGATATACTATGTTCTAAAACAAATGTTACATCCAAGGAACGTCGCTGTATATAGCTAGTTTAGTATATACCTTTTATGCTTCTACTTACGTCGAAAATATCAA